TCTGTACAGGGCGTCACTGGATGCTGGGGCGGGGCGAAGGCGTAGGAGGGGCGGAGTTACAGGCTTGCGCGCACGCGCCAGGTTTGGTCGCGTCGAGTGTGCGTGCGTGCGTGCGTGTTTGCGTGTGGTCACAGTTCCCGCCATCAGCCGCTCTCCCAGACTGGGGGAGTGAGCGGCCCCGCTCCTCCGTGGTCGGTATCCCTACCTTCCTCTCGGTTCCTCCCCCTCCGCGCGGACTCTGTGCTTCCGGTAGGCCTGTCCCGGGGCTTCCGACTCGCAGGCACAGGTAAGGCGGGCCCGGCTTCTCAACTGAGCTATTTCTCCCAGTCCCCCCTCCGCTTCGCTGTCCGCCCACTCGGCGTTCACTCTTCTAGAGTTCGCCCGGCTGTTTCTCAGCCCGCCCCCAACCCCTCGAGCGTCCCTAGCCTCACAGGTACTCCACTTGGGGCTTGCTTCCAGGCTTTCCCTCTCCTATAACCTGGTTTTTACTGTCACTCGTGCCCTCCGCAGTCCGAAACTGGCCCCTGTCGTCGTCCAGCACTTGCCCCTTAATGAGGCCTGCTGTCTGTTCAGGTAACTTCCGTTGCCGCATATCCCATTGGGTCTTAGACGTGATACTCATTCAGTCTCTGGACCATTTTTTACTTCTTTCCCCTCTTAACTATCCTTCCCCAAAAGGCATGAATTATGTTTTTTGTCGTGCATCTATCTGGTTGTTCCCCATCTCTGGCCATCAAATTAAGTTGTCGGGTTTATCTGTTTTAGGTTATGAACCGTGGAAGGAAATGGTAATTGACGACCAAGTCCTGTATTCTGGAGAGTTGTCTTATAGTGGTTTTGTGGTGGTGGTTGTTTGGTGCCCTCGAGTCGTTTTCGACTCTTGGTGACTCCGTGTAACAGAGTAGAACTGCCCTCTGGGTTTTCTTGCCTGTAATCTTTACGGAAGCAGATCACCAGGTCTTTCTCCCGTGGAGCCGCTGGAGCAGCTGAGCTCAACCATTGCACCACCAGGGCTCTTTGGTTTTGTAGTTATCTCAAAATTTCAGCTTTGTAAACGCCTTTTTTTTTTTGGAAGGGGGTGCTGATGCTTGACAGGAGTCCCTGGGTGGCACAAATGGTTAAGTGCTGGACTACTAACTGAAAGGCTGGCAGTTCAGACCCACCCACAGGCGCCTCGGAAGACAGGCCTGGTAATCTGCTTCCGAAAAGTCACAGCCTGGAAAACCCTGTGGAGCACTTCTACTTTGCACACATGGAGCCGCTGTGAGTCAAAATTGACTTGATGGCAACTAAAAACAATGCCTGACAGGTCTCTAATTGGAAGAGCTATCTAAAAGCAGATGTCAAGTAGGCAGTTGGATACGCCGTTGGAGCTCAGAGAAGAATTTTGGACTGAAGAGCATATGTATATGTGTATATCCATAGAAAACCCATTGCCGTGGCGTGGATTCAGACTTATAGCGATATGTATATATAGAGAGAGTCATATTGGCAGTAATTGAAGCTATGAATGTGGATGAAATTGTATACAGTATCCCATTGCCGTCAAGTCGATTCTGACTCGTAGTGACCCTATAGGACAGAGTAGAATTGTCCCACAGAGTTTCCAAGGATTGCCTGGTGGATTTGAACTGGTGACCTTTTGGTTAGCAGCCGAACTCTTAACCACTATGCCACCAGGGTTTCCAGAGAGAGTATAGTGGTAGAAAAGAATGGGGCTTAGGATGGAGCATTAAGGAATTCTTTTATTTTTTTTTTTTAACGTCACATAACTATGTATAAATTTTTGTATGGAAAAAAAGTTAAAAAAAAAAAAAAAGAATGCCTTGAGCATTGTGCTCTTTTAAAGAACTATCTATGTGGGATCAAATTGACAACAGCAACTTGAAAGGTTAGATAAGAAGCTTAGGGGGCAGTGAGTTTATGCTAATGCGGAGGAACAATTTGGAAAAGGAGGGTGAGAATGGTTGCACAAATTGAAGAATATGATCAACGTCAATGGGAATTCTTAACATTTAATAACTGGATAGAGGAGAACGAGTCTTGCAAAAGAAATGAAAGAAGCCGTCACTAGTGTTGAATTCTGCTGAAACGTAGAATTGAATGAAGACTGAAAAAACTCTGGTGACATAGAAGTAATTAGTGATCTTAGTAAGAGGTGTTTCCATTTTGAGTATCTGGAATTCAGCCCTAGGTTCTCTTCTCCTTTTACTTCTTTCTTTCTCCCTGAGCTTTAAATTCCATTTCTGTATTGCTGATTTAAGAATTTTTATTTCCCACCCAATCCCTTTGTTTTGAGCTCCCAAATATAAGTAGCCAACTGCCTGCTTGACATCTCTACTGAATTTTCTCTTAGGAATTTCAGATGTAATATGTCTGAAACATGTCTCTGTCATTCTTTCCACACCCAAATTCTTTTTCCTCCAGGGTCCCATTTTATTAAATGATATATCCATTTATCCAGTTACACAGGTTAGAAACTTGAAAGTCATTCTTGACTTCTCCCTTATCCTGTGTATCCATACCCTCTCCAAATTCTTTCCATTCTACTTCAATATATGTCTTGAATCTTATTCTCTTCACTGTGCCTTTTTTTAGTTCAAGCTACAGTCATCTTTCACCTGGACTTAATCTCACTGGTTCACAGTATTCTCATCTGTAAAATGGGAATAGTGAAAGTTTCCACCTTATTGGATTGTTGTGAGGATTAAATGAGACAACCATAATAACCACTTGGCACGTGGTAAATGGCTAAAAAATGTTAATTGTTATTGTAATTGTTGTTATAAACTGAACAACTTCGGTACTCTCCTAGCTAGTTGCTCTGTTTTCTTCCATTCTTGCACTTTCCACTCTTGTCCCCAAACCCAAACAAACCTTATCACTTCTCCATTCAGCAGTAACATCTCTACTTAAAAGGCTTCCGTGCATTTCCCATCACCAAATGCTTATTACATTGAATAGTAAGGATAAAATTCAGAATCCTTACTGTGGTCTATAAAACTGCATAACCTGGTTCCTGCTTGCTTCACTGGCTTCATCTTGCACCATGCTCCTCTCTCTCACTAAGCTCCATCCGTGCTGCTGCTTTTCAATCGTGCCAAGTTCTTACCCATCTCAGGGCCTTTGCACTTTTCTGTTTTCCTGGATTGTTCCAGCACCACCGTCCCCCAGTCAGCTTATTCTTTAATTTTCAGTTCAAGTGCTACTTTTCTTGATGCTCCCTACCCTTTACCTCCAAATCTTAAATCAAGTACACTGTTATAATCTTTCATCTTGCCGTGTACTTTTACTTTATATCATTTATCAGAACTTGTAATTATATATTTACTTGTGAGTTTATTTAAAGTGTGTCTCTTACTAGATTATAAATTAATGACTATTTCTACTCCTCAAAAAATTGTTAAATGAATAAACTGGACTTACTGTAAGAGCCATCATATCTTTTGGAAGGACCAGTTTACTGATGGTCTTGTCATTTTATGACAAGCATCTTTTTGCAAAACAGAGGACCACAAGAGAAACGAAGGATTTTCCAGCTTTGGATCATTTTTCCAATTCTTATATCATAAAATCATTCAAATTCATTCTTTGAATTGGAGATAAATTTTATGTAGGCTTATTTCCCTCTTTACTTTTAGCCACACCACTAATTTTATCCTGTTGTGCATTTTGTCATATGGATCTTTTTAGGAAAGGAAGTCCTTGGAAATCAGAGCAGTGGTTTATATATATATTTTAGCAATGGGGTAAACTGTAAGCCTAGTGAGGATGAGGTTTCCATAATAGGTAAAGCAGAATTCCATATTTAAGTCAGTTGGTGGTGGTGGATATGGGAGGAGATGTTAAAATTCAGTAATTTTTGTGTGTAAAACAGGATTTGTATTTAGAAATAGGAAATAAAGAATAGGAAGTATATGAATCCGAAACACAGAGAGGTGTTTGGATTACTTCTGTGAGTAGTCACGAGCTATTAAAAATGTTTGGGAAGGAATTTGCATCAATCAATTTAGCACTTAGTAAGAGCATTTTCTTGGAATACAAAAGAAGATACAACTTTGTTTTCTCCTTCAGGGATAAAGTTAAGGAGACGATTTGTGCGTAATTTAGTTGGTAACAACAAAAGAGTAGTTGTTAGGATGTTGTAGTGTAAAGGATTCATAGGGTGTAAAAATCCTGAGAATGGAGACTGGAAAGCAATTGATGCAATTCATCGATGAGGTTGGAGTATAGAAGTGTAGGCTCTGGCAGTAGACTTAGTTTTGTTTCTTCCTGACTGTGTGACCATGGATTAATTACTTCCTCTCTCTAAGCCTCAGTTTGCTTATCTGTAAAATGGAAATAATAATCCCTACCGTTTAGGATTATTATGAAAATTAAGTGAGATAATGCATGTATGAGACTTAGCACTGTGCTTAGTAAACGTTGCATAATAAATCTGAGGTGGTTGTTGTGGCAAAGAGATGAGTTTCTGAATTAGAATAGTAGCTATATGAAAAGGCTGGGGTTTGGATGGATGAAAATGAGGTCAAAGCTGATGCTGAAATTTCTTGCCTGAATGATGATAGAAGGACAAAAGTAGGGAAGTCTGGGGAGCCTTGTAATGAGGGCATGGATTGTATCTTCACATTTGTATCTCTACTACAGTGCCTTCAAATTGGAGTAGCTCAGTAAATGATATTTTACTAAACAAACAAATTAATTTAAAAGTTGTAGCATTCAAGTAGGCAGTGAGAGATGTTTGAGTAGAACTGCAGGAAAAGTTCAGACTTAGGCTTGAATTTGAGAAGGAAACCCACACATTTAGTTTTGAAAGAAAGTGAAAGCCCCAGGTTTACCTGCGTTTTGAAATATGTATCAACACATGTTGGTGTTTTAAGATTTTTGAAGACATCATTATGTAACAATGTTTATAAAGTCAACAAAGCATATATTCTTTTAGTTTCAAAATGTATCAGGGTAAATAAACCAAGACAAATTAAGGTGCTGGCTCCTTGTTGGAGTCCCTCATTTTGTATAGCAGTGCTCTTAAAGTTCTGTTGATTGTGTGTGTGTGTGTGTGTGTGTAGCATCATATTTTAAATGTTTTCAGTAAGTTTGTGGTTTTTAAATAAAGGGTTAATCTTTGTTGTATAAATGATCTTTTAAGTTTTAGTTTTGTATTGGATTATTTTAAAAGGACGCATTTATATTTTCTTTAGCTGAGTTGATGGCTTCTGGAGAACTGGCATAGCTGCAGAATATGAGTAGTTCCCCAAGAAGAGTGCTTTGCCTTTGGCACAAGGATCAGAATAAAGGTGAATTGTTATTACATAGGGTTTTTCAGTAAGTCACTGAAAAGTAAGTAATATATTTGTTTTGGATGTGTGTTTTCAAGACTGGAAATTGGCAAGAACTGAAACAGTGGTTTGACAATAGTTTTCTATGTCTATTTTGTAGTAACAGTTTTATGCTTTAGCATGCTTTACCACAGAATGCCCTCTGAATAAGGATGTTTTCAAAGTGGAACCTAAAATATGAGTATTCAAATAAATGTACCAGGAATAGGAACATTTTTGCAATATTATTGATTGAACTTTCATGGAATGTTCAAAATTGAACAATAATTTTATTAATTGTGAAGAAATTTAGGGAAAGGGGAATCTTTTTGTACATACTTAAAGAATAATTAGTTGTTGTTATACTTTGTCCTCCTAATACTGCTTTGATAAGAGAATTAGCATTGCAGAGTTCAAAGAAACCTTGTCTGTCCTAGGTTCATAGAAAGTTTAACTGTTACTGGATCATGCCAGATACCGAAAAAGAAACTTAGTTTTGTTTTTTTCCCCCCTTAGCCAAGTAAGGCAAACCCTGATAATATGATGAATGTGCAGAAGTAGATATAGTTAATTCATTTAGTGCAAAAGCAGGTAATGGGGTAAGTTGAGGCATTAAGTAAAAGTTTTGTCTTATTGGCTCTGCCAATTTTATGTCCTGCACTTTTAGCTTTTTTTTTCCTTAGAAGAAAGAAGAGGTTGCTAGTAGAAATGATTAAGAACATTTTCAGTGTTTGAAATAAAATTTTATACAGTTAACCAAATCTTTGCACCAAAATGTTTGAGAGGCATAGAGAATTATATCTGGAGAAACAGAAGTAACCAATACATTTTTTATTTCTCTAATACTTTAGTGAACTTTGGAACTTTATTTCAGAATTTCATTAAATGTTATTTTTAAAATACATATTTTCCTTGGAGATTTCAAGGTCAGTGACTTTTACTTTTGACTCTGTAAGGAAAACTCTAAGAGAATAGAGTTTTATATTCCCTTTTATTTTGGCTCCCTGACCCATAATGACATATAAGGAAAGATGAAGGAATTTCAAAAGAGATACAACTCTTAATATGGAGTTTCTTCTTTGAGCAATGCATAATGTGAATCCTAGTTTTGGGCAAATTTACTGTTTTTGTTTTAGTAATGCATTCTGTAACTGCATACTGATTCATATTCTTCATAGATGATTTTTCTCTCATTGAATTCTTAACAAGGTCTGAGGACAGCTTTGCATTTAACTGAGAAGTTTAGATGCACATAGAAAAAACTCAGTTGTAGTCTTCGATAGATAAGTTATATGTAACACAGTGCGTAGTGGTACTCTTGTAAAGAGCTTAGTAAATATAACTATATTGGGCATATAAAGAGAATTTATGATTCCAGAGGCTAACTTCCTCTGTTGTATATTTTAGCAGCAGGTTGAAGAAAATTGATAGTACTAATTTTTTCATAATTCTTGAACAGTGAGTTTCTGTTTCTTGTGTGTCAGACACTGTCCTAGTGGGGATGCAAAGATTAAAGAACACTTTCACTGTCTTGAGATAGCAAGGTCTAGATAGAGACAAAGAGGTAAACACACAGTTTGTAATACAGTGTAATAAATGCTCTGCTAGAGGTAGAGCACGTAGCACAAAGGGAGAATAGAGAAAGAAACATTTAAGCAATCTTAGTGTGGATGTGGGAGGAAAGAAAAAGGGGAGGGGAAAGTAGCTAAGAAAGGCTTCCTAAAGAAGGTAACATAAGTTGAGCCTTGATTTTATAGCCAGGAGAAGAAATTAAGGAGGGCTGGAATGGATAGGGAGAGTGCATAAAAATCCTGCAGACATAGGCCACAGTGTGTGCAAAGATATAGTGGCATGAGAACATGTGACTTTTGGGGGAAAATATAAGTAGTTCAGAATGGCTAGATTTGGGGGCTTGTTGGGGATAGAAAGGTAAGTAGAGTCTGGATCGTGAAGGACTTTTATGTCATGTTAAGGAGATTTGGATTTTATTTTAAGTGCAGTGGGGAGCTGTTAGATGGTATTAAGGAAGAGAGTGATATGTTGGTCCGCAGTTCATTATAAAGATGTCCGGAAGGTGTTGGAGGTGCAATTGACAGGACTCTTCTCTGGACCTTCCATCTCCAATCCAGTACCAGTAATCATCAAGAGAAAGATCAAAGACAACTTTCATGTTTCTGGCATGGGTAACTGGGGTAGGAGAGGGGGCATGTATTCTTTGCAGTGCTGACAGAGTGGAAAAAATCTTAAAGGACATGTGCAAGCAGTGAAGTGACAATATTATGAATTGCCAAAAAATATTATAAACACACATTACTAGCCCAGATTTCTGGAGAGTAACTAGTTTGAGCAAAATGTCATGTTAAAATAGTAACTCGAAGGATTAGATAGAAACCTTAGGGGGCACTGAATTTATATTAATGGGGGAAGAACAACTCAGAAAAAGAGGGTGAGAATGGTTGCAGAACTTGAGTGTGGTCGGTGTCACTGAATTGTACATGTAGAAATTGCTGAATTGTATGTTTTGCTGTGTATATTCTCAACAATAAAATAAATTATACAAAAAAAAGGAAAAGTCTTCCTTTTCTAACTACGAATCTGTGTGAGGACAAGTTTTCTTTATATACTTCAGCCAGAACAACATACTGGAACAAATTGAGTACAAAAGCAAACGTGAGACTCCACCAATCTTCTGTTAAACTAATCATTAAAGAGATTGACAAATACTAAAAAAAAAAAAAAAAAAAAAAGTCATGTTAACAGGTCTATAAACCGTGATGAACTCTGTTACTTTGGTGGATTCACATACCCAGGCAATTATAATACTGTCTAAATCAGTTCACGGTAGGCACTCAAAAACGTTTGATGAAATGAATGTGTAATAATAGAAGAATGAAAATGTATAACATTTATTTAAAGCGTTCTCACATTTCTTCTTTTATCCTCAGTTATTTGATGTACAGTAAATAGAGCCTTGAACTAGGGACCCTCAGACTGTATCCTGCCTGCAGGTGCGTCTTGTTTGATTTGTGGCTTTTAAAAATAAATTTGAATTCATTGCCCACAATTAAAAATGGACAATTTTATGTAAAATTTTACCTCTTCATTTTCTTGAAAAATCAGATGATCTAGCAAAGGTTCACTATTTCTACAGAGTAACAGTTGGCTAGATTTGAGTAGCAGTTGTTCATATTTTGCCTGCTTGAGTCATTTATGTCACTTGTCTGATACTTAATAGGCAGTTGAATTGGTGACCCTGTCAACAACTTATTTTCTGGGGCCTTTGGAGAAAGAGGTGTTTTAGACAAGGAATAAATTCAGAAAATAGACACTAACTCCCCTAACATTAATAACTGCTGTCTGTTGAGTGCTAATGTATGTTATCACATTTAATTCTGTAACACTAAGATTGGAATAGCATGTGCTACTCCGTTACAAATTAGTAAGTGATAGAGATCATTCTTGATTTATAGGCCTACAATCTTTTTCCTTTGTAGACTACCTCCAGCTTTTCTAGTTGAGCTGTTCAGGCAGAGCTGATTTTTAGTAATTTTTAATTTATTAAATTATAAACAAGAATCAATTTTAGAGGCATTGTTTTTAGAGATGTGAAAATAGTATACTTGTTTTAGCCATTTTAGATAATTGAATGTATATGTATTCATGTGTGCATGTGTAATGTATATGACACACACTATCTAATAATATTCTCTGCTGAGTATTACTATAAATGTATTTACTTGCTGACGTTGGTAAGTTAGTTTGAAAAGTCTTAAACATCTCATCATTCTTGTCAGTTTTAATATTAGAGGTTCATTCAGGGAACCTTGAATATTAGTCAAAGGTAAAATTGGTGAAAATTCTTTCCAAGAATGGTAATATTAAGCATAAATGGCAGGTGGTTCTTAGGAAGAGAGGTTTTGTTTGTTTTTCCTATAGATAAAATTATTTTCTCAAATAATGTAATTCTAGTGATTGAACTAATTTGAATATTCTTTAAGTTTTTAATTAATTTGCTTCTTAGACTGCAGACTGTTAGATATGCGTAGACTGCAGACTGTTGGAAGGAATTGTCTGGTGATATGATGTGATATTTGGGGAGGAACTCATTCTAAAAAATGGAGTCAGATGACTGGAAATGTTTTCTTATATTTGAAATTCAAGACTCATTAGCATTCATGAAGGAAGGCAAGAATAGGCACTTAAATGATGAACGTAAACGTTAGTCACATTGTAGTGAGGATCACGTTGGGAATGGCATCTGTAGTATTCCTAGTTGGCATGTCTTTGGTGACTACCGTATGGCTGTTAGGATGCAAAATGCAGAATTTAGGCACAGGTACTGAACACATGGCAAAAAAAAAAAAAAAGAACATTCACAGAAGAAATAAAAGATGGTTAGAAGTAGTCACTGACTGTCAGTGACTAGTTGCCCTTCTTCCCTGTGCTGTCAAGCTTTTAGGGCCTTTGAGGGTACTTGATAGTAGTGGTTTATTGAAATGGAGAAAGGTGGTACGTTAAGAGTTCTCTTTTAAACTCTTATTTTAATCACTAGTAAGTTATAACTTGTTATTTTACTTTATTTTTCTTCCTTAGAACCTGTCAGGTGAAAGTATTTTTTCTTTTTAATTGGGCTAGAAGCAATTTATTTTTAAAGAAAGTATGTCTTCCCTGAAGATACATGGTCCTATCAGAATTCGAAGTATGCAGACTGGGATTACAAAGTGGAAAGAAGGATCCTTTGAAATTGTGGAAAAAGAGAATAAAGTCAGCCTAGTGGTTCACTACAATACTGGAGGAATTCCAAGGATATTTCAGGTATTACGAAATTTTAATTTGAAATAGACCTTGAATAGACCCTTTAGTGAATAGCTGTTCTGTGTCATAGTATCATGGTAGTTGTCCTCCTAGACTAATATTTCTTCTTATTTCCAGGACACTAGTACTTTTGTGTACATGTTTTATAAACTATTCAGCAGCATTGTTTGGTGGGTATAACAAAGAGAGGGAAGTAGTCACCAACTGAGGTGGGAGGAAGCTGAGAGGGGTTTGGATACTATATATTTATGATATCTTAAAAACCACTTTAGGATAACTTCAGTTATTTTTTAAACGTATATGATGGATTTACCACTATTTAGTGTTAGCTTTTAATAGAATGCATTGGTATCTTCTAAAAGCTAATGCCTGTTTCCTAAATAATCCTGCCAAAGGTTGTAAGATGGACCATTCAAGGATAATTGCTCAAGGTCATCTTTACTGCTGTTTTCTTCTAACTAAAGTTTTGAAAGATGCTCATTTTATCACTGCAAAAACAGTAGTTAATTTTGTTTTTACTTCTACACTGACCTTCTGCAGCCAAGAACTTATCTTTTTTTTTTTTAATAATACTGATTTTTTGGTGAAAGTTTACACAGCAAGTTAGGTTCCCATTTGACAATCTCCACACAAATTGTTCAGTGACATTAGTTACATTTATCACAATGTGTCAACATTCTCTTTAATTGTGTTCTGTTTGTTCCCTCTCTAGTACTCTAGTTTCCCTGTCCCCTTATCTTCTCATCTTTGCTTTTGAGTAATTGTGAACCTTTTGATTTCATACTGATGGTTTTTAAGTAGGGCACCGATTGTGGGTAATATCCTTTATTTTGTGTGCCACTCTATTTCACTAAAAGGTGATCTCGGGATAGGCTTGGTTCTACGTTTAAAGAGTGCCTCTGGGTGATAGTCTCAGAGAATGCTCTGTTCTCTACTGTTCTAGATTGCATGGCCTTTTTTTTTTAAAATATAAGAATTTGAAAAGAACTACTCAACTTGATAAGAGTTAGATTTAGGAATATAATGTGATACTTACATTTTTCTGCACTTTAAAATTCTACATTTATTAATTAGATTATACAAAAATAAAATATTCATTTTCTACTAAACTACTCTATAGAAGAACGATACATACGTTTATGCTTGAGAACTTGATCAGAGGTAAAATTCCCATTTCTGCTTTTGAACTGTGAAAATAAATTGCTTATGACTTACTCAAAGATATTCTTAAATAGGCTGGAGGGAGTGACACAGGTTTTAGAAACAGTACTAGTTTCTGCCACATAAATATATTCGCTGAGTGCTTATCTTAGCAAAAGGAAGATTTTTTTCGAATAGAGATTCATCCTGTCAGTCCTCAGCCCAAGCTGGCCCCGAGTAAACATAGATCTTTGGGAGCATGATGATTCTGTCTGTGATTCCAGCCTCATCTCAGTTCTAGATCAGTTTACATTCAGCAGTTGTTTGTTAACCACTGACATTGTGCCTGATACTGTGCTAAGGGCTAAGAAAACAGAGTTGAATGAGATATCATTCCCCTCAAACTTAGGAGTAGCCAAATTCATTTTAATTGTGAAAATATTTCAAAGATACTGAGATAACACAAAGAAGAGAGTGGTTTGTACTCTGTCGAGGATTTAGAGGATAATCAGGAATTTACCAAACACTGTGGGGATAAGTCTGAGGTAATTTCTATATATGGACAAATACAGGCAAATGTGAGGGAACAAGAAAGTTATTTTAAAATAAATGGACAGTGGGGAGTGAGTGGCAGAAGTAGAGGCTGAATAGCTAGGTAGGAAACAGGTCCTTTTCATCAAACTAAGGGGAGCTCAGGCTCTAAGGAGCCAAGAATCTCAAATTCAAGTTCCTTTGGAGACTAGACAGATGACTTTATTTCAGGAGAGAGTAGGAAGATAAAAACGACATTTAGGAAGTTATTTGGAGGTGTAGGTGAGGGATGAAAGTCTTGAACAAAGGAAAAGGCAGTGGATAAAGCAAGACAATGAAAAGATAGATTTGAAAGCGATTTCAACAAGACATAACTCATTAGATTTGTAGGGTAAGGAAGAAAATAGTCTGGGAGTTCCCAAGCTTCTGAGTGGATAGCAGTCCCTTTTGTATTCTCTGTGATAGGGAGCAGAGGGGAAGAAGTAGAGTGTGAGGATTGGGGGAGGGAGATGAGTTGTTAGATTTATGCGACATCCAGAAGTTGGCGTCTAGTAGGCAGTAGGTAAACAAGACTGGAGTGCCAGCAGAGAGGTCTGGACTTAAAGAGTTGGGAGTCCTTACCATTTAATAGTTATAAAATTGTGAGGTAGATCAAATTCTCAGTTGTGAAAGTAACCAAATTCATGATTATTCTAATCTTATTTGCTCATGAACAGACTTTCCCCCTTATATCTAAGTTTCATTTTTTAAAAATGGCAGCGCCTGGAATACCTTTATGCAGCCTGTTTTCCTCTTGCATGCTAAAACTGCTTATTTAAATATTTTGGAGTTAAAGCATCTGGAACTAGTGTTACTGTGTTTTACCAGAGAATTTCTGATCAAGGATATGAATTTAATACCTACTTTGAAGCTAAAAAATACATATCATTTAAAATTTGAACATAAATTAAGTCCAGTAAAATAGTTTCTTCATTCTTATCTAAAAACTGACTAAGGTCAAGTCTCCCTAACTTAAAGAAAATTCTAAAATATTACTACTTGTGTTGATGCTGTTCAGAGGTGTGTCTTCAGCAAAAGGCAACTTTAGAAACCTTTGTATATGCCTGCTAGGGGAGAACATGAGAGAATAAGGATTTGTTGTGCCTGGCTGCCAGGAATTATTTAGATCATAAAGAAACTGGAAGATTTATTAATTTAGCCTTGGAAAAATGACAGCCAAGGGAAAATAAAAATTACTGCTTTGTATCACATATCCAAAGTCTGGGAGAGTATGAGACAGGTTATTGAACAAGTTCTAAGGAGGAGGAAAAGTAAGCCGACAGAGCTCCAGGGTGCTTGAATGAAAGTTAAGTGAGTCTGCTTAGACAGTTTGAAAAAAAAAAGGAATTTTTTTCAAGAAAAGGTTTAAACACAGAAGAAATCATTCTTTGATGGTTACAAGGGTGGGAAGGGAAGGAGAAGGGTATTCACTAACTAGGTAGTAGACAAGAATTGTCTTAGGTAAAGGGAAGGACAACACACTACAAGGGAAGTCAGCACAACTGAACTAAACCGAAAGCTAAGAAGTTTCCTGAATACAACTAAACACTTTGAGGGACAGAGTAGCAGGGGCAGGGTTCTGGGGACCATGGTTTCAGGGGACATCTAGGTCAATTGGCATAAGAAAGTTTCTTAAGAAAATGTTCTGCATCCCACTTTGGTGAGTGGCGTCTGGGGTCTTAAAAGCTAGCGAGCGCCATCTAAGGTGCATCAATTGGTCCCAACCCACCTGGAGCAAAGGAGAATGAAGAACACCAGAGACACATATTAGCCCAAGAGACAGAAAGGGCCACATAAACAAAGACTACCCCATCAGCCTGAGACCAGAAGAGCTAGATGGTGCCCAGCTACCACTAGTGACCGTCCTAACGGAACACAACAGAGTCCCTGATGGAGCAAGAGGAAAGTGGGGTGCAGAACTCAACTTCTAGTAGAAAGACCAGACTTAATGGTCTGACTGAGACTGGAGGGACCCTGGAAGACATGGCCCCTGGACTCTCTGTTAGCCCAAAACTAAAACCATTCCCGAGGCCAACTCTTCCGACAAAGATTAGACTGGACTAGAAGACATACAATGATACTTATGAAGAGAGTGCTTCTTAGCTCAAGTGGTTACACAAGACTGAATGGGCAGCTCCTGTCTGGAGGTGAGATGAGAAGTCAGAAAGAGACAGGAGCTGGTTGAATGGACACGGAAAATCTGGGGTAGAAAGGAGGAGTGTGCTGTCACAGTATAGGGAGAGCAACTAGGGTCACATAACAGTGTGTGTATAAATTTTTGTATGAGAAACTAACTTGAATTGTAAACTTAAAGCACAATAAAAAAAGGGGGGGTGTTCTTATATTGGCAAAGGTTTATTTCATTGTGCTTTTAAGAGGTTAGAATTCTTTTGAGGATTATAGTTTGGATTGATGTATCTTTTTACATTGCAGATGCCTAACATATAATAAGCTTCTGTTCAACAAAGAAAAAAGAAAATCTTTCTCTTTCTAAACTGATAATGGTATAACAGTACGGGTTCTGGAAATTGTTAACTCACTAATTTATATGCTCTATAGTTTTTTTTTTATTGTACTTCATGTGAAGGTTTATAGAACAAATAGTTTCTCATTAAACAGTAGTACACATATTGTTTTATGACATTGGTTAACAACCCCACAACATGTCAATGCTTTCCCTTCTCGACCTTTTTTTTTTTTTTTTTTTTTTTGGTGAAAATATACATAGCCAAAGATACACCGTTTCAAAAATTTCTACATGTGCTGTTCGGAGACATCAACTACGCTCTTCCAATTGTGCTGCTATTCTCACTTTAGATGCAGGTTTACAGAACGATATAGCTTCTCATTAAACAGTACACACGTTGCCCTATGACAATGGTTAACAACCTTACAACACATCGACACTGTCCTTACTCAACCTTGGGTTCCCTATCACCAGCTTTCCTGTCCCCTTCTGCCTTCTAGTCCTTGTCCCTGGACTGCTGTGCCTCATTAGTCTCATTTTATGCCCTATAATTTTATATTGAAAATATGAATTCCATACCATAAGATCAAGAGTACTAGGATTATTCTGTAAAATGACTTTTAATAGTATGTGTTTGTACCTCCTGAAAGTTAAATCTTTGACTTAAACGCATCAAGAAATGGGAATCTTTTTTGGTTAGGGGGGAGAAAAACTAAATTACTATGGTGAAGAGTGAGAAATATAACTTGGAAAGTATAAAGTTTAATATTCATTAGACAGTTTATTGTACTTCATTGTCTTATATTTGTTGGTGATGATTTCCCTTTTGTCTCAATCAGCTAACTCATAACATTAAAAATGTGGTACTTCGACCCAGTGGAGCAAAACAAAGCCGCCTAATGTTAACTCTACAAGATAACAGCTTCTTGTCCATTGACAAAGTACCAAGTAAAGATGCAGAGGAAATGAGGTTGTTTCTAGATGCAGTCCATCAAAACAGACTTCATGCAGGTGAGCACTAATCATCCCAGGGTCTGACATGTTAGCAGTTATAAAAGAATATGACTAGAAAAAAACTCGAAACCCAAACTTGTTGCCGTCAAGTCGATTCCATATGACAGCAACCCTATAGAACAGAGCAGAACTGCCCCATAGGGTTTCCAAGGAGCGCTTGGTGGATTCGAACTGCCGACGTTTTGGTTAGCTGCTGTAGTTCTTAACCACTACGCCACCAGGTTTTCCATGACTAGAAAAGGAGGAGGATTTAAATTACAACTGGGAAAAGTTACCTTGTTACATCATATCTTAGGGACTTGCTTACCTATTTGAAACTTATTCTGAAATTTTTATTCTTGCTGTGAAAACTAAATTCTGTAGAAAATCATATAGTATGATCCAGTTCCCCTGCTCACTCCAACCGCTTTCATTTAAAATTGTTTTGATTTTTTTTTTTTTAAATATATTTACATGCACCTTTTTAGGAATAATCTATTGTTTAAAATGAGTGTACCACCAGTACTGTTAGTCGTCAACATATCAGTACTTCACTATTACTTACATTTTATAGGTGAAAAACTTCTGAGGTTTTTTTAAACTTGAATATTACACATTAAAACTATTAGAAAATGAAGATGTAGCAGTGTTACTTTGCTTGTATTTAATATGTCTCTCAAACACACTACTCTCCTTGTTAAATAAAACTTTTTAATGGCTGTTTGCCATTTTAGTACCTACTCATTATGTGTTCATTCCATCAATTCTGAGCTATGTCAATTTGATAAATAACTATTGGATTTCAGAATCGAGGAATTGAATACTATTTTAAATCCTTAGAATATATCAGGGACTGTGTATTTCTGTTTTTGTTCTATCCCACTATATTAATCGAAACACTGTCTAAAGAATTAATGTCTCTAAATACATTGGAGTGGAAAGCCCAGAGAACTGTGTGGGGACCCAAGTTTCAATCTGATCATGGCATAATGGAAAAATACAGGCTTTGGACCTAAACAGATTTAGGTTTGAATCCTAGCTCTGTTTGTTATTTCCTGTGTGGTTTTGGGCAAGGCACTTAATACCCTGAGTTTCAATTTACTTATCTGTAAAATGAAGGTCTGTCAGTGGAGGCTTGTGTGTTGCTGTGATGCTGAACAGGTTTCAGTAGAGCTTCTAGACTAAGATAGGCTAGGAAGAAGGGCCTGGTGATCTGAAAATCAGCCAGTGAAAACTCTATGGATCACAACGGTCCAGTCCACAACCAGTCATGGGGATAGCACAGGACTGGGCAGCATTTCATTGTGTTTTGCATGGGGTCACCATGAGTCAGGGGCCGGTTTGATGGCAACTAACAACAACATTTGGTGATATCAGTTTAAATTTAAAATATGTGTATTCTTTAATCCAGCAGTTTTAATTCTAAGGTGTTTATCCTGCAAATATAATTCTACTACTATAAGAAGGTACTGAAAGAATGTTCAGCATTATTTATAATGTGGAAAAATTAAAACATTCTAAGCTATCATCAGTGGAAAATTGGCTAACTAAAATATAAAATACTTTAAAAAGAATATACAAATTCATATTATACAGTGCCTTGCATGTTCTTTAAACTAGCATTGATTTCTTTGGAATAGAAGCCTTTTATTCTTAATAAATTTTTAGTGAATGCTTTGGAATATATATAATGCTCTGGAGTATATGTTATTGGAGGTGTACCTATCACTATTTTGGACGTCTTTCTCTCCTTGGTTTCCAGTGGCAGTGTTCATGCAATAAATACACAGGTGTGACTGACTTTTCCATAGTGTTAATTACTAAGTATTTATGTAGAAGAGTTTCTAGCATTTTCTTTTTTTGTGTTTTAAAATTTAGCCTTCTATTACAATTTCCCAAATTTCTGCATGCTATTTAATATTTTGCTTGAGATCCTAGCTCTAAATTTTAATTACTGTGTGTCATATTTACTTTTTATCAGAAAGAATTGACCAGTAAGCACCTTGATTTGTCTTATCTTTTTCCTGCTGTTTCTTCCACTTCCTTAAGACTACATGCTAATAATGATAAGGATTGATCTCTTTATTAAAGTGAATTAATCGGTTTTTTTTTTTTTTAACCAGCAATGAAACCTCAGGGGTCTGGTAGTTTTGGAGCTATTCTGGGCAGCAGGACCTCACAGAAGGAAACCAACAGACAGCTTTCTTACTCAGACAATCAGGTGTGTTTATTTGAATCTTTTTGCTTTTTTATTTTAGTAACAGTCACGGACAGACTGGCATGTATGTTCTGTTAGGTAGTTGCAGGAAGTAGACTTTATAGACTATAATGCCTAATATTTCTGGCATTGTCACAGGGGTATTTTCCAGGTATCTGAAATTTACCATTTTAGTCATCTTATTCTCTCCAACTATTTTTATGAAAATCTTTCTAAATTTTATCACATTCTTCCTTTCTTGCATATAGTTTTACTGAACACAATTTAACCTTTGCTTGTTGTCTTATGGTCATCATTATGAACCACAGTAAAGTGTAGTTTTTAAAAGCGTGGCTTTGGAATTAGATCGGCTTTGAGGCTTGGTGCTGCCACTTACTAGCTGGGGTCTTTGAGGAGGTTCGTTAAGTATTCTAAGCCTCGTTACCCGTCTGTAAAACTAAAATAGCAATAATATTTCAAGAATTGCTATGAGATAATGCGTGTAAAAGTGCTTAGCCCATTGTATCATGTACTAACAACCCTATAAATGTTTGCTGCTGTTATTTCTGTGATGCCCTTTGGGTCTGTTCTACATTATGAACTTTGCCTCTATGCTATATGATACCAGACTATTTTGTTGATGGCTTCTGTTTGTTTTTTTAAATAGTTTTTCTTTAACATATAATTCAACTAGCTGTTAAGACTTGCTGTGCACTAATAAATACTCTTATCGCAACTTAGCAGTCCTATGTCTCTTTTAATTTATTTTGCAAAGAAAAACCAGACAGCTAAATTTGTTAAAGTGATGTGTTTTTTTGTTTGTTTTAATTTTACCATTTATCTTTTTATTTCTCTTAGTTGTTATTTGTTTTTTATTGTGGATATATGTTATGATGATAATGTTATAACAGAACATATGCCATTTCAACTATTTTTACATGTACCATTCACTGACATTAATTACATTCACCATGTTGAATAATCATTACCACTATCTGTTTCCAAATTTTTTCATCGCCTTTAATAGAAACTTGGTTACCCCATAAGCAATAAAAAACTTCTTAAAGTAAGAGAAACTTTGAGGCTCTCCACTAAGTAATTGTATGAGTTCTATCTGGCTGTGCATAAAGGATTATTTAGTCCATTTACTGGACTAAGCAGTGAGTAAGATTTTGTTTTGTTAGGTTCTTTTTATAGGTTGGATTTGGCTGGGAGGTTTATTGAGGTACAATTGACATGAAGTAAATTGTACATATTTAAATATACAATTTGATAAGCTTTGATATATGTATTCACCTGTAAAACCATCATTATAATCAAGATAGTGAGTATATTTGTGATGACTCTGAGGTCAAATTCAAAAATGTTTGAAAATATGCCGAATAGTGTATATATAGTTTGCTACTGTTTGTATAACAAAGGAAAATAAAAATATCAACTTACACTTGCATAAAGAAATATTTAGAAGTGGAAGAATATTTATAAGGGATAGGAAAGTGAGAAGTGGAAGAACTGGATGGATGGGGATAAGGAAGGGTGGTAGTGAGACTTCTCAGTATATGGTTTTTAATATTATTTTGACTTCTGAGTTTTTAATATTATTTTGACTTTTGAACTTGGAAAATATATCACCTATTCGAAAATAAGTTTTTAAATCGTTCACCCAGATGACCTTAGAGATCTTTTTCTTTCCTTTGAGATTGTAGTTTGGTAGAAAGAAAGCAACTGGCCATATTTTCTTTAGTAAAATCACATAGCTCTTAATGTAGAGTTATAAAACTTACGTGACAAAATGTTGCTCTAAAGTACTATTTCCTAACCTATATATTTAAATTGCGGTGTTCTCTGAATGTTCTTGCTGTATCTTTGGGATAGACTCTTGATTTGTCTTCTGCCCATGCACTCTATCTCACCCTCCTACCCCCGATTGTTACATATAATTATTTCATTCCTCTAAGCTAGAACCCTCTCAAGAGTCATATGAGGTATATGTGACTTGGCATGTAAGTTGTGGTAACTAAATATCATTGTTGCTTCTTTTTCTCACTGCTGTGTCACTTTATCGTAATCATAATTGGATATATTTTTCCCCAAGGATTTAGTCTCATGCTGATTACTAGAATGATGTCTTTTTTTTTTTTAATTAGTAATTCAAAGCAGGGTTCTTGCTTTCTGCCTCCAGCTGTGCTATGGAATTTTAAGTTTATAAGATTACTACAGGAAAATAAGTGTCAAACTCAGTTTTTCGTACAGTCTGTACATTAGAATCACCTGGAGTGCTATAAAAAAATACTGATACATGGGCCCCACTCCAGATCGATAAGGTAGAATCTCTGGGGATATGTCCCAAGTTGTGGGTATTTTTTTTAAAAGCTCCCATGTATGAATCACTGGTCTAAAAGTATTCCAATTAATTTGAAGATTTAGCTATCTTAAACTTTATTCTTACAGGCCTCTTCAAAAAGGGGAAGTTTGGAAACTAAAGATGATATTCCATTTCGAAAAGTTCTTGGTAACCCAAGTAGAGGATCTATTAAGACTACAGCAGGAAGTGGAATACCTGTCACCCGGACAATTCCTTCTTTGACATCTACATCAACACCTCTTAGATCAGGGTTATTAGAAAATAGGTATGAAAGACTTTTGTTTATACTTAGTCATTAGCTGTATCTGTTTATAAGTTTCTTTTAGGCCTTTTAGAAAGACCATTAATTTGAGGAAGAAAAGAAGGAGAAAGTCTAGTGAGTAAAGTGTGTTAGAGAAAGTAAAGAAAGTATAGAATGCGTTTTTGGTAGTTAATTAGAAATATGTTTCTATGTGGTTTATGTTAGTTATACATATTAAGCATGTAAATATATAGTATATTAATTTAAATATGTTGTAGAGAATTAGATAACAGTAGTCACAGTTCCTGTCTTCGAGTATGCTGGTTTATAGTTTTTTGTTTTTTAGTGTAATTTGTTTTTTCTTAATTGTGCTTTACGTGAAGGTTTACAGAGCAAATTAGTTTCTCATTAAACAGTTAATACACGTGTTGTTTTGTGACATGGTTGCCAACACCATGACGTGTCAACACTCTCCCCATCTCACACTCGGGTTCCTCATTTTCATTCATACAGCTTTCTTGTCCCCTCCTGCTGTCTCGTCCTTGCCCCTGGGCTGGCATGCCCATTTAGTCTCGTATACATGGTTGAACTATGCGTATTATTGTTTGTTTTATGGGTCTGTCTGATCTTTGACTGAAGGGTGAACCTCAGGAGTGACTTCAGTACTGAGTTAAAAGGGTGTCCAGGGACCATACTCTGGGGTGGTTTATAGTTTTAATGGGTGCAGTGTGATTGTTTTTTAATTACATCTTTACCTATATTTTCTACAGGACTGAAAAGAGGAAAAGAATGCTGTCATCTGGCTCAGAGTTGAATGAAGATTACCCGAAGGAAAATGATTCATCATCGTAAGTTGCTTTACGAGCCTTCATGGCACTAGATAAGTGTTTCTTTTGTTGGTAATTATAACCACTAGGGAAGATTGGGGAGATAGCACTCAATTTATAGGAATTCCGAAGAGAGAAGAGCAGAATTGATAATGTTCTGGTGACAGTAAATTGTAGACTCAGTGCACAGGGGATTTTGCCATTGATACTGCTTTGGTTATTTCATTGTACTTCTCCTATCTTAGCTTTTTATCTCTAATACATAGAGGAGAAATAGAGGTGAAAAACTCTAAACCGCTGTTTCTTGCTGGCTGCTCCTTTAGTGTGAACTCCTTCTTTCCCTCTTACCTTTATCCTTATTATTATTTTCTTTCAACCTTATGTGAAAAGTCAGTTTGGCTTAGGGGTGAAAGGATATGAGCCCTCCACAGGTTCTAGGCAAGGAGCACCAAACTTTCAGAGGTATTTTCTGGGTTGAACAAAAGGGGGTAGACCTGCAACAGGGAGGTCTTGATCCTCTTCCTATCATGTGAGGATTTTTTTGTCTTCTGGGGGAGAAAGGGAGTCCCTGGATGGTGTAAACGGTTAACATGCTGGGCTGCTAACGGGAAGACTGGAGGTTTGAGCCCACCCAGAGGTGCCTCAGAAGAAAGGCCTGGCAATCCTTCTGAAATATCAGCCATTGAAAACCCTATGGAGCACAGTTCTACTCTGACACACGTGGGATCACCATGAATCAGAATCCACTGAATAGCAACTGGTTGGGGGAGAAAACTTATTATGCGGTTATCATTTAGTTCTTTAATTCATATCTTAACAGAAATTAGTTGATAATCTGCTTCCTAGGCTTACTTCTGGTACCACCTGTTACAGATCATGTTCCCTAGAAGCAGACCCTGAGATGAAGATTAGTGTGCAAATGATTTATTAAGGAAGTGCTTCCAGGGGAGACCAGTAAGGAGTGAGGAAAGGAAGTCAGTCAAGGGCAGGAAACCAAGCATGGGTGTGATCTCAGACAAAAGTCATGCAGAGGTTAGGCTTCGTCCTGGATCCAGAGAGGAAATCTGTTATGTAAGTTCCACCTTACAGTTGTTCTGATCTAAAGCAAGGGAGCTGGGCTTTGGTACTCTAGCACCTGACCTTACTTGTGACTCTCCAAGTGTGGGAGCAAAGAAAGTATCTCTAGTAGCTTGAGGACAGTCCTGTGAACGAGAGCCCTAGGTGCTGGCTTTTGAAGTTGGGTTCAAGATGTGGAAGAGAGGACATAAAAATGGAAATTTGGATGGAGTATCTGTGTTGTCTGCTACCAGCTTAATTTACAATAAAAAAATAAACCAAACCTGTTGCTGCTGAGTCGATTCCAACTCATAGTGACCCTACAGGACAGAGTAGAACTGCCCGATAGGGTTTCCAAGGAGCGGCTAGTAGATTTGAACTGCCGACTTTTTGGTTAGCAGCCTGACCTCTTAACCACTGCGCCACAAGGGCTCCTAATTTACAATGGTTCCCCTAAAATTAGCACGTTTAATCAGACCATGAACACTGAGTGGACACTCTACTTACATGGGTTCAGATATTTGGGATAATAGAGGGAGGACAAAAATAGCCTTGTTTAAGAACTTTTAACTTAGTGTTCACAAACTTAAAATATTTAATCACTGTGAATTGAAGTCTTGTTGACACTTAGTAAATACTATTTCAAATCCGTATAGACTACCAGAACATTCTGGGTTTTTTTTTGGTCTGTTTTGTTTTACTCTATAAAACGACCAACCTTGAATAATTTACATTTTAATTTATTCTTTTGGCCTTAGTAGCTAAATAATTTTGTCTGGTCTTGCTCTTGGCCAAAAAAGTCTAATGCAATCTTACTGTCTCTGATCAGACTTTTATATAAAGAAAGTGCTCATTTTATTTTAACTCCCAGGGTCATGAATTGGATTGGCTCTTGACTTGGTAATGAAAGCTTATTTGCATGATTCTCATTTGCTTTAAGTAGTCAGCCTCTTGAGGCTTTAACACCTTGTAGCCTAACTTTAAAGCATATCAATCATTTCAGCACTTGGAATGTAAATTTTTTAATGGTAGCTATTTAAAATTAAGAGTAATATCTGATGTTATATTTTATATTGGTTTAAAATTATTAGCAATGTTGTGTTGATTTAGAATTATTAACTGTAGGAACAACAAGGCTATGACAGATCCCTCAAGAAAGTATTTAACCAGCAGTAGAGAGAAACAGCTGAGTTTGAAGCAGTCAGAAGAGAATAGGACATCAGGTAAGTAGTCTTTTTAAAGATACTCATTAATTATATGTTGTATTCTATTAGACTAGGAACAAAAACCTAAATCAGGACATATCTCTCTACATTGTTCAGGAATACTGCATAATTCAGTACTAGTTATTGGCCACCAAAATGTTCCCAGTACTTGGCTAAATATTTTGAAGTATTGGAAAGATAAGGGAGCTTTTATCTGTTTACAAGGAATCTAGTCTTTACCTTCTTCTTTCGTTTTTGCCTAGAAATAAACTCTTTCATTGTCAAAGTGCCTAGACCATAGAATGAACCAGTGAAGTTTAAGTGGTTGCAATTAAAGTTTATCAGTATTGCTACTTATTAGAAGCTGCAGGAGAAAATGTTGAAATTAATGCCTAAAGCAGTTATTTACACTTACTTTGTATTTAATTTTTTTAAAAATAAAAGTTGATCTGTCCATGAATTTTTGTTAGTATTTCCCAACACTTACATCTCTCTGATCCTCTGAAATCCTTAGACACTCAGATATTTTGTATTGATTTGAATATTACATCAGCTTGAAATCAAATAGAAGCAAGCTCAAATATGGCATGAGTTTTAGAAATTGATAATTTAAGAGAATCCAATTGATCAAGATTCTAGGAATCACTTTTTTTTTTTTTAATTGTACTTTATTTTTCCAATACAGAAATTTGTACATACATTGTTATGTGACCCTGATTGCTCTCCCCATACTGTGACAGCACACTCTTCCTTTCCACCCCTGATTCCCCATGTCCATTCAACCAGCTCCTAACCCTCTCTGCCTACCCATCTCACCTCTGGACAGAAGCTGCCGGTTTAGTCTCTTGCATCTACTTGAGCTAAGAGGCACACTCCTCACGAGTATCACTTTATGTTCCACAGTTCAGTCCAATCCCTGTCTGAAGAGTTGGCTTTGGATGTTGTTTTAGTTCTGGGCTGATAGGGAATCCAGGGGCCATGCTCTCCAGGGTTCCTCCAGTCTCAGTCAGACCATTAAGTCTGGTTTTCTTACTAGAATTTGAGTTGTGCACCCCACCTTTTTCCTGCTCCATCCGGGACTCTCTGTTGTGTTCCCTGGCAGGGCGGTCATTGGTGGCAGGTACCATCTAGTTCTTCTGGTCTCAGGCTGATGAAGTCTCTGGTTTATGTGGCCCTTTCTGTCTCTTGAGCTAATACTTCCCTTGTGTCTTTGGTGTTCTTCATTCTCCTTTACTCCAGGTGGTTGGGACCAATTGATGCATCTTAGATTCCTGCTTACAAGCTTTTAAGACCCCAGATGCCACTCACCAAAATAGGATGCAGAACATTTTCTTAAGAAGCTTTGTTATGCCAGTTGACCTAGATGTCCCCTGAAAGCATAGTCCCCAGACCCCTACCCCGGCTACTCTGTCTCTAGAAGTGTTTGACTGTATTCAGGAAACTTCTTAGCTTTGGTTTAGTCCAGTTGTGCTGACTTCCCCTGTAGAGTGTGCTGTCTTTCCCTTCACCTAAGATAATTCTTATCTGCTATCTAGTTAGTAGATAACCCTCACCCTCCCTCCCCACCTGTCTTAGTCATCTAGTGCTGCCATAACAGAAATACCACAAGTGGATGGTTTTAACAAAGAGAAGTTTATTTCCTCACAAAGTAGGCTAAAAGTCCAAATTCAGGGCGTCAGCTCCAGGGGAAGTCTTTCTCTCTCTGTCGGCCTTCTCATCAGTGTTCCCCTGGACTAGGAGCTTCTCAGCGCAGGGACTCCAGTCCAAAGGACACGCTCTGCTCCCGGCACTGCTTTCTTGATGGTATGAGGTCCCCCTGTCTCATTGCTCACTTCTGTCTTTTATATCTCAAGAGATTGCCTCAGGAC